AATTTTATTTTTGTTGAAAAATATTTTTTGTTGGTCTATAAATTGACAGCTTTTACTGCGATAAAATCGCACAGATGTGTGCGTACTTGCGTTTTCGAAGCAGTGACGTCTGTAGCATCAAAAACGGTGCGGATTCATTGCGACAGAATCGCATAGGTTTGTTAAAGTATGTTCAGACAGAAATTTAATTGAGTCAATTAGATTTTAAATTGAGTAAACAGTTTTGGGTGGTCACACAGAGTCAGCTGTTCGGTTAATGGTGGGCTATCAGCTGACAATATATTTTACAATTATTTTGGAAAATGGAGAACAATTCATCCTTAAAAGGAATTCTTCTGGCGTATACCGCAAATATTGAACTCCTCCAGTCAATTCAATCAATTTATGATTGTAAACTGGCTTCTTATAGGAGGAAAAAGAAGAAAAACATGCTACTCATACAACACTTGCGAAGAAAGCAACTATTGCTGCTTGCATTACTGGAAAGAAGCGCAACTCAAAGATCAATGTGGAAGTTGGTAATTTAAACTATTATAAATAAGTTTGTGGCCTTTAATTAATAACATTTTCTTATTTATAGGACCGACAATCCTTGTTTTGGGAGGTTAACTGCAATGCAAATGATGACCACTTTTTCAAGACCCACTTCCGTATAACGCGTGCAAGTTTTGACATACTCTGTGGCTTCCTTAGCAATTTGAAAAAAACTGACACAAATTGGCGCACCCCCATTTCGTTACAAAAGCGCGTTGCAATTGTTTTATTTACGCTTGGTTCATCTGGGGAGTACAGAGTAGTTTCCGAACTATTTGGTGTTGGAAAATCAACTGTGTGCTCAATTGTATTAGAGTTTTGTGAGGAGGTCTGGAAAGCGATGTCAACTCAATACATAAAAAAGTTACCGCCGACTCCTGAAACGCTGGCTGAATGCGTAAATGCCTTCCACCGTCCTGGCTTTCCTCAATGCTTAGGAGCAATAGGTTTGAGAATTTAGTCACTATACAAAAATTATTTATATATCCATACATATATATACATTATGTAATTACATACGTACATCCATATATTTTTAGATGGATGTCATATAGAAGTTAAACCGAATCCAACCGACGCAACGGATTATTTTAACTACAAAGGATGGCACTCCATGGTACTTTTAGCTCTAGTAGATTACAGGTGAAAAAGAGTAACATGCTAATTTTTTTCATTAATAGACAAACATACTTACTTATGTATATTATATCCTCGTGTGCACATATATACAGGTACCGCTTCCTATATGTAAACATTGGTTCCCCAGGGCGATGCAATGACTCGCAAATATACAATGCATCGATGCTCAAAAGAGTATTGACGGAAAATGAATTGTTGAGGAACCATAAGAAGGAAATATGTGGTGTGCAGATGCCAGTGTGCATTCTAGGAGATTCTGCATTCCGATTCTCCACCTCTTTAATGAAGCCATACCCGTTTAGCATGGCCTTAACAGAAACCCAAAAGCTGTTCAACTATAATCTGTCGAAATGCAGAAGAGTAGTAGAGAATGCCTTTGAACATTTAAAAGCGCGTTTCCGACGAATCGGCAAAGGTATAGATAACCGAATAGGTAACGCACCGGTTATTGTTAGAGCCTGCTGCGTTCTTCATAACTTTTTGAACGAAAGAAATGATTACATTAATGAGATTTGGATGGCGAGATTGCAAGAAGTAAATATAAATCGAGAAAATCCTACAGATTATGTTGTAGTTGGTGACAATGAACCCTCCGCTGAAGTAATAAGAAACGCTTTGTGTAATTATTTTAGTGAGTATCAAATTTAATTTTTAATCTTTTTTAAAAAAAGAGATTATAGCATTTTTTAGCTCTTCATTAGCTTTTGAAATGGTTTGAAAAGATGCAGCCTTTTATTTTTCAATATTTATAAGCTCCTTTTCATTTTGGTCACTATTTTTTAAATGCTGGGTTATCTCTGAAGAGAGCTCATCAAATTTTTGCAAAATTTTGGTTTGGAAATGACCCATTTCTTTTTTTTTCTTAGGTTCCATCGCTGAGGCTGAGGTGCTTGGTGGGGATGACGGGTAAGCAAGCGGCGGGGACGGTGAAGGCAGCGGTGTGATTTGAAGTGTGGGTAGAGGTGATGGCAGCGGAGTTAACAGCGGTGACAATTGAGGCGGCTGTGATCCAAAGGAGACTTCTGTTTAAAATAAAAAAAAAACATTATTAGTTTTTATAATAAACGAATAAACATTGAATAAATGTTGACAATAAAATGAAATAAATGTTGAGGCATTTGAGCTACTTAAATTCTGGCATTGCACAAACAGTGGCACAAAGCTGCATAGTGTACCCCAAAGTAAATTTTTTAAATTCTAATAATCTGGAAGGTTGTTGTTGCTTTGCTTTCTATAACAGCATTTTCAAACCCATATATAAACATACATATCACCCATTTACTTTAATAGCGCCATAAATCAAAATAGCAAACTGGAGAAAAGCATGAATGTGTATTTTTTGGATTATGAGGGTACGGTTTAGTTATTTGTACAACGATTTTGGGTTGTTGTGCCCAAACACGTTAGCCGAATCAAAAATCTTTTACACACACTTGTAGACAAGAGTCCACGCGTTATTTAAAAATAATAATGTCGGTTTGAAATGTGGCATTTTTTGCAAATTTCCGAGCTCAGTTGTAAAGCACAAAAAATTTCCACGAAATATCTCTGTTGGGGGCTGAAGGGGGGGAAGAGCGGTGACTTTTCACAAAGCGCGGTCCATACTCTTTCGTTTATGGGGGGCTTGGGGGACCACGCCAACTCCCCGACCGCCTCCTACACGAAAATTGTTGTACAAATAACTAAACATTTCCCGATTATGACACTATTGAAGTTAATTAGCGACATGTATATAATATAGGCAAATACTGAAATGTATTTACACATGAATACTTGCACAGTACATTACAAAATATATGCATTTATACATATGTACGTATATACATAAAAACATACATACTGCAACTTCCAGCCGTGGTAAAAAATAATTTGATGCGATATTGGACACTGAGACACATACCGTCGATACTTTCGACCATCTCCGCATTTTTCCGCAAGCCACGGAGATCTCCAACGCGTTCTGCCCACAAATCAAGGATCGCCAACTCGCCGTCCTCAGTCCATGCTAGCCGCTTTCTTTTTCTTTTGAGAGCTGTTTTAAATAAAATAAAAGTAATTTTATTTATAATTCTTTTAAAAATTAAAGTAATTTTATTTACTTACAATCCGTGTCGTCCATAATTGCTAAATATTTCCGAATTTTAAACCTCAACCGTCAACTGAAACAGCTGATTGTCATTTGCGCAATGAACACAGCCCGAACTCAAATAAACTGACAGTTGTCTCTCTCGCACCGCTCCCTTAGCAGTGGCACCGTGTTGCTTCTTTGCAAATTTACATGGAAACAGTGTAGCTTTGGTGTGAAATAAAAGTATAAGCTTTTGTGCAATATGTTTATTTGTATATGCATATGAAGCATATTTAATAGTTTTGCTCATATATTCAAAGTATATTTTTAACTGATGAAAACCTAAGAATTGGATGTTTACATCAATCTCATAGTAGTCTTATTTTAATTTGAGTCATTTTGCAGTTTTTATACGGTTAAATAGCATATAAATTACGTAATTCACGTAGATATATCAATATTACGTTCAACATTTCGTTTAAAATGTCAGATTTCCTGCAAATACATTAGAATTTACAAAAGGAATTTCACTACTAATTGCCTACTTTGCGTACTTTTCTACTACCATTTTCGAAACAAGGGATTGCATTCTTGCCCTTTCTCTGTCCTTCGTAAATGCAACCTTTTGTAAGCGAGTGTCAAACCGCAGCTGTCAATAATTATTTAACCTTGTATTATTGAATCATGAACTTTAATTAAATTTGTTATTTATTTATTTAAGTGAGTAAAAAGTGGTTGTAAAACCGACTTTGCCAGCGAAAGCTTTCATTTGTGATGAGAGCTTTTGAAAGCTTTGGCACTCTGTGTTGTAAAAGCAGGGCTGGTATACAAGTGAGCAGCAGATACACAAAATTGTGGTGTGTGTATATTGATCACTGATTAAACGTGTAACATTTCTGAGTATGGTTATTCTGATTTAGTTTTTATTTAAGTGAAGAGCATAGGTCACTTAAATCAAAACTAAAAACAAATTAAAATGGATTGGTGAAACCAAAAATTCGAAATTTAAAGTAATTTTAACTTAAATGAATCTGGTGAAACGCAGCCTTAGTCTTTCAAAGTTTTTGCGTAGTTGAAAAAATCAATTTAAGCCATGAGGAAATATAGATGAAGTTTGAAAAAATATGTAATTTTGTTTCTTTTTTTGCAATACCACACTCAAACGAAGCACCGGAGAGGATTTTCAGTATAAAGTTTGCTTCCTGGCGCAAAGAGAGGAACTGACTTATAATCAAAATTTTTGAAAGTGAGCTTAAAATTAAAAGTAATGTTAAAATGAAATGTAAAGAATTCTTTGACTATTTAAACACTGAAGATGGAACTGTAGCGCGTTTCTGTAAGAAATCGACAAAATTCTCGATTATAGTGACGTCATATCGATTCGATCCAAGTTTGTCGATTGGCGGAGAAAAAGTGTTTCCGTAAGCATTAATCGACAAAATGTGGAACAGTGAGAGAAATGATATGCCAATCGACAAGGAATGTGTGAAATCGAATTGAAAGTTATTTGTCAAAACATTTTGAAAAGTAAGCATGAAAACAAAAATGTGTATACAAAAAATTGTATATTGATAAATATTTATTTTCAGCTATGAGTTTGTTGGTAGCTACACTCGCGATACAACAGGACCGCAGAAATATGCTGCGAATGCGACGGCGGTATTTGAGGGACTCCACAGATCCATTCAGCATTCCAGAGGCGCGCTTTATAGAGTTGTTTTGCTTCAGCAGGGCAGCAGTCAGGGAACTTCTTGTAGAAATGGAGCCTTTAATGGATACAGCAGTAAGGAATACGTTCATTCCAAACTCCATTAGACTGTGTGTAGCACTCCACTATTATGCTACAGGATCGTACCTTAGAGACGACGGTCAGGATTTCGTTTGCGCCATAAGTAAGACCATGGTAAGCCGCATACTACATCAAGTCACAAAAATTTTGCAAAACTACTTGGCGCAACGATATATTATACTCCCAACAACATTGGAGCAGCAGAATATAGTAAAACAACGGTAGGTGAATTATTTCAAATTTAACGACTCGTGGTTATTCATTTCATTTGTTGTTTATTTACAGTTTTTTTAATGCAACTAGATTTCCCGGCGTCTTAGGAGCGATTGATTGCACTCACGTCAAAATTAAGAAGCCATCAAGTGATGTAGAATACTGCTACATTAATCGGAAAGGATACTTTTCCAAGAATGTGCAATTGGTGTGCGATTTCGATTTAAATATCCTGGGGTGCTTCGCAAGGTATGGGGGAAGTACGCACGATGCTTATATTTGGGAAAGCAGTATAATAAAATCCCATATGCTAAATGCTTACACTGCAAATGGCTCTACTGGATGGTTGCTTGGAGATTCTGGGTATCCATTGCAGCCGTGGCTAATGACTCCATTCAGAAATGTTGAGCATGCCAGCCAACAGCGCTACAATGATAGCCACGCACGTGCACGAAACTGTGTAGAACGCCTTAATGGAGTTCTAAAAAAGGTATTTGCTTGCCTTTCACAAGACCGGGGGCTAATGGAGGATCCCTCATTTGCTGGGTCTATAATTACTGCATGCTGTACACTACATAATATTCGAAAGAGATTTAATCTTCCGCTTCCTGAAGTAGATCCACCTGCTGATCTATCTGACAATCAATCGTCTGGGGACAATGTCGAATTAGTACACGTTTTAAATGAAGGAAGAGCTGTTCGAAATATTATTACAAGAAATCACTTTTATAATTAGCCAATGTTATAAAAAATTTAAGTAAAGGTGATTTTTTATTGATCAGAAAAATTTTGGTTCATTTTTAAGATTTAATCGAAAATTTTTCGTTTTTTGTTCGCATGGAATTTTATTTTGAAATTCGGTGAGTTAGTTAGGAGTGTTTAAAGAGGCATATTCCTAAGAAATTAATTAAAAACGATTTGGTTGGTTTGTTGATTTTTTTTAATATAGCGCAAATTTGAAACTTGGATTTATAGTGTTTTTGTTAAAGAATAAACTACAGTGCCGCACTAAATTATTAGCATAAAAAGTTTTTCACAATGTTTGCAAAATTTTTTTTTTTTTTGCTTTAACTTTTTCCACTAGGGTTTTATAACATAAAAATTAAATCTCTAAATTTTGTGAAAAAGTCAGGGAAATTCAATAACTTAGCAAACAACTTTGCAACTTTTTAATCAGACTTTTAGAAAATTCTGGATATGCAGATTTATAGCCCATTCCATTTTAGTACAACAAAAAATAAGTTTGAAGTTGCTAAAAGTCGTGTTAATTTTTAGCAACTTTTTCACGCAGTTTCATCCATACAAAGTTCGTTCAACAGTTTTTTTTTATGTATGCAAGAAAAAATTGCCAAAAATCAACGCGTTTTTTTAACAACTTCAAACTTGCATTTCGTAATACTAAAATTGAATGGGTTATAAAACTGCATACTTAGAACTTGAATGAAAAATCTGATTAAAAAGTTTCAAACTTGTAGGCAAATTTATTGAATTTTCTTGAGATTTCCACAAAGTTTCGAGATTTTATTTTTATGTTCTTTGTTGCAATATGAACTATATTTTGTTAAACTTAGCGGAAAAAAATTAAGGTAAAAATTGTTCCACGCATTGTGAAAAATTATCCGTACTAATAATTTAGTGTGTCACTGTGTACTGTGTGTGTGTGTGTGTGTAATAAAAAATAATAAATACTAATACCTATTATGCACTTCAAAGGTATAGAGAATATTTTAAAAAGTAAATTTGCGATTTCACAGCTTCAGTGTGCTAAAAATATATAGAAAGATGTAGGAAAAATAAAGAAATATTAATGCGATACAATATTACAAAAAGCTGTTATCGTTAAATTTTACCTGTCATAGCTTCTAAAAGAGCTTTTAATGTATCATGAATGCCCTTTAAGGCATCCATATGCTCCTTGTGCTGCCTCTCCAACAAATTCTTCAATTGTTGGTGTTGGGCTTCAATTAGAACACTAGCTTCTTCCACGCAACTTTGGCTGCTGCGCGTTTTGTTTGGCTTATTGGATACAACTTCAAACCCCTGACCCGGTGGAAACTCGACTACTTCCTCCTCATCAAACACGTCGAGGTCAACCATGTCTACCTCCGGCAAATCAACACTTTTAGCCGTTGACTGTACATATCAAACGTAACACTACATTTCATAATCAACTCGACTTTTAATTTTGAGAAATGTTACTTACTGCCAAACCGATTTCGGGAGTGAGTCCATCCCCATCCACCATGTCTCTTGAAAAAAATTCCAAAACTTCAGTGTCCATAGCGTCCAAGNGTTCCAAAACTACAGTGTCCATAGCGTCCAAGGGTTTTGGACCATCCTGCAACGGTAGATTGCCAGTGCGTCTGGCGAACGCTCTGTGGGAATTATTTAGTTTTTTCACAGACGATTTCCAATCAATCCAACACTAAAAGAAAAACAATACACATAAAAAAAACGTCAAAAAAGTTTTTTGTTATTAACTTTTAAATGGTTGATATAATTAACCTAAACTAAATTTAAATTCTATACGCCCTATTAAGTTTCGGTTTTACCTTTTTCCACTGGTTAGAGGTTTTATGGGACCCTCCTAATGCGTTCAGCTCGTCAGCAACCGCAGCCCATACTTCTGCATGCTCTTTTCTGGCGTTTGGTGTCGTAAACTGGCCCTTACCAACGCAGCGATGCTGTTGCATTAGCTGGAGCAACCGATTTTTTTGACCTTTGGTAACCCGGCCCGACATATTCCTCTGTAACAAATATACATGTGTATTTATTTAAATATTCATAAGTATACAAAATATTAACAAATATATAAGTACTTACGCTGGCTTTAGATCCAATGTCTTCCATTTTAAATTCAAATAAACGAAATATGTACATACACACATCAAAATACAGTTGTCACCAGCTCAAAGGCAAGTGAGAATAATAATCGACAATACTTCGTTTCATTTGGTTACAGAAACACATTCAATCGAGTATTCCTACTGAAATGGAATGAAACACGTCAGTCGAAAATCCAGCGTTGTCGACCAATTCGACTCATTTTCTTATAGAAACATAACAAGTGAGAATGACGTCAAATTACATCAAATCGACTATTTCAATCGAGAACATTGATCGAGACGAGTTACAGAAACGCGCTACTGATCTTATTATTGCTATTCAAAAATGTAATAAATATATAAGAATTTATTGTATTATGTGTGCACTTATGTTAAAATTAATAACACTTTTATTATCTGGCGTTTTAAAGTATTATCTGTTGCTTACATTCATAATTTTGCTTTGAATGAAAATGTACTGAAAAGTACTGATTTTTTAGCATGAAAAAGTCTAACGTACGGATTTCGCGCATAAAAAATCTGGCAACCCTATCCTTGCTACCTTGTAAGCAGCAAATGAAGGAAGAAGAAAAATGAAATATGAAATCCCTTACAATATTATCCGCCTTCTTCTCTCGCACAGTGAAACATATATATAGCTTTATAAAATAATATCCATGTAAAAATATCAATAAAAAATCGAATAAAAAGCTCAAAATTGTTAAGGAACTTTGTCGAATTTTCTTAACTTTTGTACAAGGGTTGAAGTTTGGACTTGCATGGTTTTTGATAGATAACGAGCTATTTTTTCATAAAAAAAGAACAAGTAATTTTTAAACAAACAACACAAGTGACTTCAAACCGGTAATTTCTTCATGATCCAATGATGGGATCTAAACCAAATTAGTATGTGGCCACCCTTGAGGTACCACCTTTCCGATAAAAAGGAATTATCGAAATCAGTTCAAGTGGTCCAAAGTTATGCGGTAACTTATATACATAAAAAAATATTCGCAGGAATTGATAAACTTTTCCTGTTTTTAAGTCGGTCAAAACTTGCAAAATGTCGCGACCCTATTTATATTTTCGCCAGTGTATATATACAGCGTGGCGACGAAGAACTGTTACCCCGGGTTTTTGTGAAATAAAAAGGTCCTTTATAGATTTGCGAAAAAAGTATTTTATTGGTAAATTTCCACAGATTATACTTTAGTGGTATTAATAAGTTTTTAAATTTTAATCCTTATTTACATTTGCCAGCAGTGTAAACTTTGAGAGAAAAGTTCATTTGGCACGCAGGTCTTCGTCAGTTAATTTATTCCTTATCTTCTGTAACCATAGGTAAATTTTCTCCATTTTGAGTTCCTTATACTCCCCTTTTTGTCCAGCATAAGGCCTCATACTTAAAAATCGAATAGACTCGGATCTGGTGACTAGGACGGCCATTCATTGGACCAACCTTATACAGTTTTTTCTTTTTTGTATTTTTTTGTACAAAGCCTAAGAAAAAATACACCTGAAAAAGACCTGCGTGCGAAATGAACTTTTCTCTCAAAGTTTAAACTGCTGGCAAATGTAAGTAGGGATTAAAATTTAAAAACTAATTGATACCACTAAAGTAAAATCTGTGAAAATTAACAATAAAATACTTTTTTCGCAAAATCTTTAAAGGACCCTTTTATTTCTAAAAAAACCGGGGTAACAGTTATTCGTCGCCACGCTGTACATATGTAAACTGTGCTACACAATTTTTGATGACACGAGGCAATATTCATTTTAAGTTTAAGTTGTTATAAAAAGGACTTTATAACTTGAAATTGGTAATCTTTTCAACCAACATAATAAGGGCTATTTACAGCCGTAAAGCCAATATCAGTTTTCTTTTAAGGTATTTTTAAATGAAGATTTTTTGGGATCGAAACGATTGTTAAGCTTTAAAATCTTATTTTGAAGATTTTTTTGGAAAAAAAATTAAGANTTATATACATAAAAAAATATTCGCAGGAATTGATAAACTTTTCCTGTTTTTAAGTCGGTCAAAACTTGCAAAATGTCGCGACCCTATTTATATTTTCGCCAGTGTATATATACAGCGTGGCGACGAAGAACTGTTACCCCGGGTTTTTGTGAAATAAAAAGGTCCTTTATAGATTTGCGAAAAAAGTATTTTATTGGTAAATTTCCACAGATTATACTTTAGTGGTATTAATAAGTTTTTAAATTTTAATCCTTATTTACATTTGCCAGCAGTGTAAACTTTGAGAGAAAAGTTCATTTGGCACGCAGGTCTTCGTCAGTTAATTTATTCCTTATCTTCTGTAACCATAGGTAAATTTTCTCCATTTTGAGTTCCTTATACTCCCCTTTTTGTCCAGCATAAGGCCTCATACTTAAAAATCGAATAGACTCGGATCTGGTGACTAGGACGGCCATTCATTGGACCAACCTTATACAGTTTTTTCTTTTTTGTATTTTTTTGTACAAAGCCTAAGAAAAAATACACCTGAAAAAGACCTGCGTGCGAAATGAACTTTTCTCTCAAAGTTTAAACTGCTGGCAAATGTAAGTAGGGATTAAAATTTAAAAACTAATTGATACCACTAAAGTAAAATCTGTGAAAATTAACAATAAAATACTTTTTTCGCAAAATCTTTAAAGGACCCTTTTATTTCTAAAAAAACCGGGGTAACAGTTATTCGTCGCCACGCTGTACATATGTAAACTGTGCTACACAATTTTTGATGACACGAGGCAATATTCATTTTAAGTTTAAGTTGTTATAAAAAGGACTTTATAACTTGAAATTGGTAATCTTTTCAACCAACATAATAAGGGCTATTTACAGCCGTAAAGCCAATATCAGTTTTCTTTTAAGGTATTTTTAAATGAAGATTTTTTGGGATCGAAAAGATTTTTTTTAGCTTTAAAATCTTAATTTGAATATTTTTTTGGAAAAAATTAAGATTTTTGGGGGACTTCCTCTGGCAACACTGAAGGCAACATTTTTTGTAGAAACGCCACAACAAATTTTACGATCTTCACAGTTGGTAAACGAATCTTCGGCTGTATAAAACAGGCCTTGATGACAATAAGGCGTACACCGCGACGATGAAGACACGAACGCCATGGTTCGTAATTTCATAAAAATTACCAAAAGCAGGTTAGAGTGATATTTGCACTGATGCATCGAATTTTCTCCAATGAGCTAGTTTATTCAGTGCAGGATAATTAATTGCCCTGCAGCCAAAAATGTTTCCAATATACTTATACGCTTTGTGGTCGTGAGCTAGTGAGAATACGTGCTTGTTTATTGCACATTATTACTAAAATTTTTTTTTTTTATTATTACATCTCAGAATACGTGCTAAAACAATCATCAAATATTAAACATGCTTATACATACTCTATACAGACATACATACTCATTCCACATACTCAGTGAGAAACATTATTGAAATTGTATTAATGCTCCGTAAATATTAATTAAATTATCTAATAACCTCCTGTTTTCAAATACTTCATCCATGTGATTTCCCCTTCACCTTATATATACCCAATATGTCCACATGTATGTACATACATACATATGTATGTATGTGCATACCTGTAGGGTATCCCTGCAGGAAAAGCTATGGACTGTTGTGAGTTTCATATTTCATATTTATTTATTAAGTCTATGGTTGCAAAACCTTACAGACTAGAGGTACAAAATGACTTAGAAATAATCATTAAAGATACGATTAAAAGTAACTAGATCCCAGCTTAGATAAAAAAGAGATCTAGGATGGGCGAAATCAAGATCAAGACTATTAAAAATTCTATTAAGTTCATTAAGAGACCTACCATGCATACCACAATGTCATAGATAAACATGAGTGAGTGAATTATACGCCTTGAGGCAAGTGATTTCAAATTTATTGAGTTGAGTTGAGCATTTATATACATATATTATTATTATTATTTTTATTATTATTATTATTATTATTATTATTATTATTATTATTATAGGCCATATCTCCGTAACCTCTAAAGTGATCTATTGTGTGCGGCCCCTCGCCCTATGTGGGAAGGCTTTTAATGTAGCCTACACTCAGAAAAAGCATTTCCTTAAAACAAGAAACCAGTTTCTTTATATTAGAGTTACTGTTTTTTCCTTAGTATTACGGTAAATTTACTCAATTTGAGAAGTTTCTCCTTAATTCAGGTTCATGCTAAAAATAGTGCGTCATTAATTTGAGGAATTAAATTTACTCAATATAGGTAATAATTTTGTCAGTGCTTTTAAGACAAAGTTAATTGCTTTCCTGGCAAATATCGTCGCATAAAGACTACGGTTCTGGTTCTGAGATCGCAGGTTCGAGTCGGTTGGAGGTGGTTGGAGTATGGTAAGTCAATTATTTCAATTTAAATTTAAATTACAAGTTGTAAAACTAATTTCATATATGGTAAAACCTTAATCATCAAATACCATAAAATATAAATGAGATATTTTTTTTAAATACAATTTGAAAAATTACAATAAAACAAAAAATTAAAAAAAAAAGTTACCAGCTCTGGGTCTCGAGCTTTGCATCTTTCGACTAGCACTCCAGAGCTTTGCTCTGTCGCCCATTGCGACTGTTTGAACGCCGCGAGCTAAATGGCATACATATTTATTCCTTTCACGGCAAGTTAATTCTTCCTAAGAATAAAGAAAATAGTACTGAAAACTAATGAATTGTGTGTTCCTTAAACGGAGTCAAATCGTTTACTCTTATAAAAGTAGCCATGTCTTTGGAGCCATTTCAAGGTTATATTTCCTTAGAGTAATATACTTTTTTCTTAGCATCAAGGAATATTTTTTCTGGGTGTAGCCTTAGTCCACAATGCTAAGCAAGCATAGATTACTTTTGGCTTTACGAGAGAGTGTTGAATCACTAATAGGTCATTTTGGGAGTAAGGTTTAGGGTTGCCAATCATACTATAACATATAGTATTGCACTATTTTTTCGGTCGGCGTAGTCTATACTATTGGAAAAAATATAT